GAATAAAATTCGGATGGATTTTTGGTTTCTCGGTTTGTTATATTTGCGGTCATTTCAGAATTTCATGCTACTCCGATTTTGTTCTTTCCTGGGGCAATATTTTTGTTCCTTCTTTTATTTATTTTTATTGTGGCTCTACTAAAAGAGCTAAAATAAAATATAAAAAAAGATAACCCAAATATATCACTACCATCATCATCATCATCATACACCTTTATCCTATTATTTCCATGAATTTTATTTAATCGTATAAATAAATAATGCATAAGATTATTAAAATGGTTATATTACTTATTGACCAAGCTAACGGGTTTGGATGGAAAAAGATTATACGTAACAGCATGCTACTGCACGATGTTAGAAACGTCAGATGTTATTTGTTCCTTTTCGTTTTATTTGCTTCTTCTTACCCGGCGGACGTTGAGCGAATTGAATGAGTTAGTCGGACGACATTCTATGATCCATCTTTTGTGCGTGCAAATATTGGCTTTTTTTGTTAAGGCGCTGTTCGGTATATTAGAATAAATCGCTTTACGACTTTAACGAGCCTTCTTTTCACCAACCTTTGTCCATCAATGTAACTCTATCAAGGCTAAGTGTCTAGTGTGGCCCACAGTATTGGACTCGTTGTTATCAACTGCGTTGCTTTGCGAATGATCAAACGAATGAAAAAAAGAACGAGAACGTATATACATTTATATATATTATTGTGAAAGATCGAAATTGGATAATGTCAAGATTTGTATGTGTAAAATGTGATGAAGATGAATTTAATATTATTATACCTTCTCTTATTTTAAAATAAACAACATTTAAAAAAATATTATAGTATATTTCTCTGAGATATATCAATTGTAACGTAGTCCAAATACGAATGATGTGTTGCTACGATGAATTTCAAACCTAATCGTCTTAGTAAGATTTACATTTGAATAACCAATGAAAGAAGAAGATTGTTAGAAATTCTTTACCCAAATTCAATATCCTCTCTATTTTCTTTTTAATCTTTTTTTTTTTTATTCCTCTATATAAGGAAGAATTTAAATCCCGTTCATGGCAGGTGGGATTAGCTTATGGAGTATTACAGAAAATCTGTGAAAAAAGGGGAGTCGGGGTGCAGATCGAGATTAAACGTTTGTTGTATTCCGCAGATAACTCTTCTTTTTTATTCTCTTACGCATCATTGATTTTGAAGAATTTCTGACAACCTGACGTACACAAAGATTTCTACGATATTTTCTATAAGATTCTCGCGTCTATATTTATATTTTATTTCTTTCTACAATTTTGTTTATATTTTCTTTGCGGATCAAATTTTTGACTTTCGAACTTAGAATGCTAAAAATTTAGCGTTGATCTTGTTTAAAAAGAAACAGAAATAAATCCTACACCCTTTTCATAAATATTTCGCAATTCTAAACTGCGAAACGATCAATCGATCGATCATTTATTTATTTTTTTTTTCAATGCGAGGAAGACAAAATGTTTGAAGAGAAAAATTCGTAGATTTTGCCTTTTCCCTTTTTTTTCTTTTTTCTTTCGAGGGAAAAGAATTGCATTGTCCAAGCAAATAAGATTCGTTTGTTGGTCCACTTGTGTATTTTCATTTCTACCTGACACAATCGAGAAAGAAAAGTGGCCCTATGCTTCTGGAAACTAGCTGCTGTATACGACCTGAGGGTTGAAAATATAGTCACTAAGTTAGGGACGTAGAAAGATTTTCACGTGTGTGGTTATGTTCCAGCAAATTCGTGATTCGATTATATATGTGTGTGTTAAAGTTTAGCTGAGTTTCTGCGCAAACCTATTGATCTAAAAGTGTGTTGGACGTTCAAACGAGTTCTTCCGTAAATCCGTTGATTTTTGTTAGATGTGTTAGAGTATATAGTTGAGTTGATGTATAAGTATGTTAGATTTTAGGTTTGCTGGTGTTTAGGTATCCTAAACTTTAGGTATCCTAAACTTTAGGTGACTTGGTGTGCGTAACGAATGAGGGATAAGGTAAGATGATGTCTTCTTTTTTTGGTTGTATAAGTTTCTATGGGTGTGGTTTTTCTTTTGAGGAAAATCCATGACTAATTGTTAGGTAAATGCAGCATGGCGAATTGAGATTAACGAATATACTCTTGATCTTTTCTTTCTCTCTTTTCTTTTTTTTCTTGTATTTAGAAATAATTTCGAAAAAATTCTTAAACACACTTACGAAAATTATCTAATATTAATCTATTAAATATTAATAAATATTGTCATCGATAAACGTAGTAAACGTATTTACACGATGCATTAAATTCTAATCAAAATACCATTTCTAAATACCAAACAATTGTGCAACTTTTACAAACACTTATCTCATTTATGATAAATATTCGAAACTATTCAAACGAAAATTAAACGCGCGTGACACATTTAACGAGAAATTAATACGCGATACGTAATATAATTAATCTCATCAAATGCACCACCAATTTCTATTCCAAATGATATTTAACAAAATCTAAGAAAATAATTCACGAATGCATTCGAATTGTATTTCAATCTTTCACGCATACACAATGAGAGATGCACCCATGGAAAGGGAAACCTATTGTCGATTGAATTGTCATTCTTAATCGCTGGTAATTTGTTTCTTTTATTATCATTAAACGTGCGTGGAGATAATGAACGATGAAAAAAAAGAAGCGGCCATTCAATTTAAAGATCGGGACTAATGCATAATAACTAAACGATAATAATGCTATAAGTATTTTTAATTCAACGATTAGATACGGTTGTCTGAGCGGACGAAATTCCCTTTTCTTTCTTATCTCCACAGGGGGGCGGGGGCGGGGCGGGTAGGGGAGTGGTGATCATACGGTATGGTAAAAAGATTCAATCACAACTTTTTTCTATTAGATTCTTTTGTTTTTCTGAAACTTTCATCCAAAATTCTTAATCACCCCGAAATGTCTGATGTGTCAGAAAAATAAATGCACAAGTTCGCGTGTAATGGGAAAAAAAAAAAACAAAAAAAGAAAGTAGGAAAATAATTAAAAAATCTCTGAATCGGGAATGGGGAAAATGAAAAAGAAAAAAAAATGTATGGGAGAAAAGGGGATGTAAGGAGATCGTAGGGGATGTAACTAAATCTAAGGTTCGCCACGGGGTGACGACACTTTGACCGTAGGGGGTCTTAGGCTTAAAAAAAAAAAAAAAAAGAAATATGCATAAATATATGCGGCATAATACCGAAAAAAAAGAAGTTCTTTTTACCTTTTGCCGACATACATGGAAGAAACAAATCTTCGAAAGATCTTAGAACCTCGTACACTCCCACCTCTACTAAAGGCATCCCCCTAATTTCGTTTTTTCGACACCACATCGCGTTACACTTTTTTTTTTTAACGAACCCGTAAATCTTTGAGAAAAAAAATCTTGCTCTCCAACCGACAACTTTGGCAATCATTGTTGCATCAGTTTAATATTTCAATTATTTCACCACCTGATCATCTTAATTCGATCACGAGAAATATTTGAAAGTAATTTACAAAAATTTGTTGTAACGATTTAAAATCATTTAATTACAGATATCAATGGACAACGTTGAATAATTTTTGTCAAGATCAAGATAATAATCGATATAAGAGGTATTATGTTTTTTCTAAATTGTTAACAGAATTTGGACCACCGAGGAGAGTAAGTTGTTCGTAGATCGAATCGAAAGATACAAATTTTGAAATGTAGGGAAGATGAGGAATGAAGATGTGGACGAGGGTGGGGTGGGGTGGAGAGGGGTTGTTGATCGTCGAGTTGTTAGGTCCCATGGAAGACTTATGAACGTTTTCTTCATTTCTTTTCTTTTCTTTTCTTTTCTTTTCTTTTCTTTTCTTTTTCTTTTTTTTTTACAGAGTCACATTTTTTGTTGTTCCTTAATTCCTCATGGGAGTTTTGATCTTTCGGTAGACACAACAGGGAGATAGCGAAATGACACATGGTCGGGGATCAAACGGGACCGACGATTTAAACTCTAACGCGAGAAGTGATCTAACTGTGGATATTATAAACCCCGCGGGTGATCATTATCTCGTTCTGACGATGATTCAATTGAGTTAGAATGGACCACGTATAAAAGTTAACATCTCCCGTATAGTTCACTTGTAATCCGAAATAAATATCGAATTGTTCGGAAATTTGAATTGCCAATTTGTACACATATTATCTAAATTTCAATTGTATATTAATTCAATCGAAATTAATTAAAATTGCTGAAAAATAATACTCGTAATTAAAATATACACAATTTCAATGAATATTTCTAATGTATCTATGATAAAAGTGTGAACACACACTTTAGTGGTCGCAAAAATCATACGCGTGTTTGTCCAGTATTGTAAACCCACGATGACCCACCCCTCCCACCCACCTTTTGAATGAAGAAGAAAAGAAAAGAAAAGAAAAGAAAAGAAAATAAAGATGACATTCGGATGAACGTATTCCATGTAACCCAGAAGGTAACCAGACGGGTGCACCCCTTCTCCGAATGAAACAAGCAAGCAAGCAAAGCCCGCCATCCTCGAGGGAGGGCGTAGTAGTGCGGATTGCAGGGATTTGTTTGCACACGCGGCCTTATATGCGTCTTCTTGCGGCTGCGCTCCCCACCATAGGAAAGAAAATACAGTCGGTTATTACTACCACAAGTATGAATCTAACATAACCGAAGCACGAAACGCGAACCATTGACTTGATATCAAAAGGCTAGGCCTTGCTAACCCTAAAACCCTCGAACTACCCCCACTCGAGTATGTATTCGTCGATCCTATGCGCTGTTTGCATTGTTTGCTGTCAAACATTGGACGCAAAAGAGCCTATTGGTGGGGGAATCAAAGCGTTTTGTACCTTCTTCGGGAGGGATAGGAATAACACCATTGGCCGAACCCTCCTCTTTTCATTGAACTTGGTTGCACAGTAGGCGTGACTTAAATCCATGTATAAGAACCTAGAACCTGGTGGGGAAGTTGCCAGAAACGCGCAGATGCTCCGACGGAGCGCCTCGGTTATTCGTTCCTTCCTATGTTGCATCTGTTCAATCAATTTCTAGTTTTGTTTTCTTTTTGTTTTCAATTCGTTATACACGATAAAACGTTTCTTATTCGACTTGGAAATAATAAGTGCACGAACTTTGTTGATCCCCCATTAAGTTTGCTAACAGGATAATAATTAAACAAGTGTTTGTTTGTTTGTTTGCTGTGATGTGCGTGATTTATTACTCTACGTCCAATTATGATAATTGATAATAGAGAGATAATAATTACGTGATAAAGGATTTTTTTTCGATTGGGAACTATCGAATATACGCGTGTGATACGGCGATAAATCGAAAAAGTGTTGCAAACATTAATTTGCGAATTGGGGCTCAAGGAATACTAACAAATGATGGTTAACATGGAGGCTTCTAACGAACAACACACGGTGACGGCGGCATCGCCACCACCACCACCACGAACTACACTTAAAAGTAGTTTTAGCATTCGTAGTATATTACCGGAAGCTTGTTCTGGAACACCATCCTCGGTACCGTCGGTCAGCCAATCGATTTCCTCCGATGCATCGCACGCCGAGGATAGCGACGAGTCTTGTGATTTGGATGTAACAGGTGACGGCACGGAAACCCCGCCCCCCTTGGATTGCTCGAGAAATTCTAATTCGACCAATCCGTCGGATCAAACTAATCATCCGAATGAAAATCATTCGGGAGAGAACAATAATAGCAACGACGATCAAACTAGCGACGTTAAAAAAAAACCTGAAAAACCGCCGTACAGTTACAACGCATTGATAATGATGGCCATTCGCGAAAGTCCGGAAAAACGATTAACCTTAAACGGCATTTACGAATACATCATGAAAAATTTCCCATATTACGAGAACAATAAACAGGGATGGCAAAATTCTATAAGGCACAATTTGTCGTTGAACAAGTGTTTCGTCAAAGTACCGAGACACTACGACGATCCCGGTAAGGGTAATTATTGGATGTTGGATCCGAGCTCGGACGATGTTTTTATCGGTGGTACTACGGGAAAATTGAGAAGGAGATCTTCAGCGATATCGAGGTCGAGAATGGCCGCATACAAAAGAAGCATGTCCTTGGGTGGTTTGTATCCAAATCCGTATGCACCAGCGGGTTGGCCAACTACCCTCTACACTTTTCCTTATCTACATCGTGCCGTATATCCAGCCGCAACTGCAGCTTATTCCAACCCACCGGGTGGTTATCCAACGAGCCTTTTACCTGGCACGGCTTCAACGACCACCGCCGCCACTGGCTTACCTTGCAAACCTCAACCAGTTCCAGCAACCGCTGCACCACCAGCACACGGTTCTTTTTCCATGGAAAGGTTACTCCAAACCTCCACCGGTTATCCAACAAATATCGCTACGATATCAAACATCCCGGCTACCGGTCCTTACGATTTTTACACTACTCTGAGATCGTTAGCACATCATCATCATCAACATCAAACCCATGCTGTTTTTAATCAACAACAAAGGTATCATGTCAATCAACCCTCCGCATTGAGTCAACCACCTTCCAATACGGCATCACCGGGTAGTAGTCCCGAACCAATGTCCCCCCATTCGCCACCGGTTTCAATTTGTTCTAGTAATACGATGGTACAACAAACCAACAGACAAATTCCTCACTCTCCTCCACAACTTTTACTCAAACCCATTACCGTTCTAACCGGCAGGCAAAGTTGAATTCTATAATCTTCTTCATTTCTTTCTCTCTTGTTTTTTCTTTTTTTTTTATTAGGATTTGTTTTATTTCTATTAGAACTTAATCAATTAATTATTACGATTCAATTATTTTACTTTTAATTGTACTTTTCGACGAGTTATCGGTTTCATTCCCGACGAAATTCATTTATTTTAATTCAAATCTAATGGTATGTACGGAACGATTACTGTCTTGTAAAGTTTACTGTATAAATGTATCTTCTATTTAATTCTATTTTCCAAATTATAATTTATATTTTATTTAATAGTATATTATATATATTTAAAGTCCTAATCATAAAAAAAAAAAAAAAAGGGACACACCACTTGTACATACGAATTGTAAAATATAATGAATAGATAAATGCGCGTAGATTAAATTGTCGTTAAGAAAATTATTGCGATCGATTGTAGGTATAAGTTAAAATATGATGAGATTATTTTCTATTAATAATACTTTAATCATTCAAAGTGATATGCCATGGGAGATCCAATATCTTCATGCCAAATATTATTAAATATTAAGTATTCGTGAATAAGTTTAATTTGAGATCTGGATAATTAATATAATGATTAAAATAGTGGCATGAAAAATGTAAATTTGAGTACCGCATTTCATTCGTTTCAGTCTACTCTGGCCCAATTTTTTCACAAATCCTACAGTCACGAACATTTGAATATATTACTTGTTTAATATCATTAAATTCATCCTTAGAAAATGTATTAGCGAAGTAATATAATAAATTTGTAAATAAATATACATATATGTATATGTATATTATTATTATTATTATTATTATTATTATTATTAATATTAATAATAAAACATCTTGTAAACAATGGATTTGTCGAATGAAGATGATGAGACTGATATGAGAATGATATTAGTCAATATTGTTATAAACATTTATAAATGTATTGATAT